TTAAAGAAACAAGCCAGCAACAGTGTGTTGAAACAAGACCATAAAAGGGATTGCCAGCTGAGTCCAGCTACTCAGGAGGCTGAGGTGGGAAGAGCGCTTGAGCATGGAGGTCAAGGCTGCAGTGAGCCCTGATCATGCCACTGCATTCCAGCCTGGGCAACAGAGCAAGAACCTGTCTCAAAAAGGTATGGGGTGGGGATGCAGTGGCTCATGCCTATAATCTCAGCACTCTGGGAGGTCATGACAGGAGGATCACTTGGAGCCCAGGAGTTTGAGACTAGCCTGGACAACATAGTGAGACACTGTCTCCATGAAAAATTTTAAAAAATAAGCTGGGTGTGGTGGTGTACCTGTAGTCCCAGCTGCTCAAAAGGCTGGGGCAGGAATATTGCTTGAGCCCGGGAGTTTGAGGCTGCAGTGCTCTAGCTGGGGCAATAAAGTAAGACCCCCATCTCTTAAAAAAAAGAGACTGTCAATGGGTCAAACTGTTTGCTCACCTCCTGAGACTATAACCAATCAACATAATTGCATCAGTGCAGACTTAGAACAAAGCTCTCCTTTTTTACTTTTATATCTGATGAATCAAATTATCCATCAATGGGATCTGTGGCCCTTTTTTTTTTTTAACTTTGTAAATGTTTGTCAGGAAAAGCTCTTTGTTACTGTTAATTTTAATATTTAAGAAATTTGACATGTAAGAAAGCATTGTATCTAAACTGGTTTACAGAGGGAACGGAAATGGGTATGTATGTTTGGTATTTATTAGAATTAAAGAAAACCTGGTGAGTGTAGTAAGTAAACACAGGTTTCCCTGGTTATCCATGTTCAGAAGTCACTTCATCAGGAAAGATGGAATTAGAGGGGTGGAATTACAGACTTTTGAAGGAAACTGAATACAGATTTATTCTGAGTGATACAGAGCCTCAGTAGGGCTTTGATAGAATTTTTTTTTTTTTTTTAGACAGTTTCACTCTGTCACCCAGGCTGGAGTGCAGTAGCATGATCTCAACTGACTGCAACCTCCACCTCCTGGGTTCAAGCGATTCTCATGCCTCAGCCTCCCACATAGCTGGGACTACAGGCGTGAGCCACCACGGCCAGCTGGTTTATGTATTTTTAGTAGAGACGGGTTTTGCCATGTTGCCCAGGCTGGTCTCGAACTCCTGGTCTCAAGTGATCCACCCGTCTCGGCCTCCCAAAGTGCGCTGGGATTACAGACGTGAGCCACCGTGACTGGCTGAGATGAAATTTAATAGTTGTCACTGAATGTACATTTAGCTGCCAGAAACTTCATGAACCCTGTCTCTACTAAAAACACAAAAATTAGCCAGGCATGCTGGCGTGCGCCTGTATTCCCAGCTACTGGGGGGCTGAGGCAGGAGAATCATTTGAACCTGGGAGGCAGAGGTTGTAGTGAGCCAAGAATGTACCACTGCATTCCAACTCCAGCCTGGGTAACAGAGCAAGACTTCTCCTCTAAACAAAGCAAAAAAAGTTACATTCAAATCATACTAACATTCCATTCCCAACCAGTTGGTTGTTGAGCAAATCATGGCATTTATTTGACCCAAGTCTCACCACTGCTCTCTCAACTCCCCTAGTAGAAGTCACCATCCTCTCTGCAGTCCTAGATTACTGTCTCACTGATCTCCCTGCCTTTTCCACTTGTTCTCCTGTTATCCGTATGGCTAGAAAGATTATTTTAAAACATAGATCAGGCCAGGCTCAGTGGCTTATGCCTGTAATCTCAGAACTTTGGGGGGCCAAGGTGGGAGGATTACTTGAGGCTGCTTCAGGAGCTCAAGATTAGCCTGGGCAACATAGTGAGACCTTATCTCTAAAAATTAAAAAAAGGAGTCACATCGGGTAGCTCCTTAGCAACTTAGTCTATGTGAGGCACTGTATTAAACCTCCACATACATTATCTTGTTCTTAGTAATTTTTCTAAGGCAGTGTTCCCTCATCTTATAAATGAAGTGATTTTTCAGCAAAATCCAAAAAATGTCAGTGTTTTTTTGGTGCAGTACTCTAGGGAGACTGCAAGAGAAATACCACTGACCATGCTCTCAGGAAATTTACATTGAGGTTAGGTAAACTGGATATTAGAGACTTGAACGGCTGGGGATGGTGGCTCACTCCTGTAATCCCAGCACTTCAGGAGGCCAAGGTAGGTGGATTGCTTGTGCCCAGGAGTTCAAGACCAGCCTGGGCAACATGGCAAGACTCCATCTCTTCAAAAAATTAGCCAGGTGTGGTGGCGTGCCCCTGTAGTTCCAGCTACTTGGGAGGCTGAGGTGGGAGCCTAGGAGGTGAGAGTTGCAGTGAGCTGTAATTGTGCCACTGCACTGCAGCCTGGGTGACAGAGTATGACTCTGTCTCAAAAAATAAAAATAAAATTGTATCTGTATACACACACACACACACACACACACACACACACACACGAGACTTGCCAAAAAGTAAAATGATGCCACTCTTTTTACTAATTTATTCCTTATTTTGGAAAATAGAGCATTAGTTTTAATAAAGATACTATTTTTGTTAACGTGTAATGAAGTTATTTTTAAATGAATTTTTAAAATTCTCATTTTTAACTTATAAATATTAGCAGACATAACCCACATAAACAAAAACTTTGGGATCCTCAATACCTTTTAGGCATGTAAAGGGGTCTTGAGACCAAAGCTGTCTGAAATCTGCTGAAGTAGACTTGTTTCCTCCTGGCACTTTCTTCTGGTTCCTTCAGTCACCACATAGTTATTATGTCTATCTATGCCAGGCACCATTCTAGATTTTGGGGATACAGGTGAAGAAGATGGGCAGGCTCTGATGTATGGAACTTACATTCTAGTTGGCATGTGTATGATAGAGAGAGAGGAGGAAGAGGAGGAGGGTAGGTGATTTAGTTATGAAGAAATGAACAAGTTAATTTCAGATTACATAAAAGCTGTGAAGAAAATTAAACAGGGTCAAGTACCCAGGAGTGGGGATCTAAGTCAAAATGAGGCTGGGAAGATGACTTGATTTGAGCCTGATTGGCAAAGGGAAGCGCCCTGGCTCACTCCTCTACTGAGCTTCCTGTGGTTCCTTAAATATGCCAGGCAGGATCCTTCTTCAGGGATCCCTCGGTGCAGAAAGCACTCCTAAATTTTCATGCCAGTCACTACAGTCCAGGTCTCCTTGGAGGGGCCTTCTCCAATCACCTATCTCAAAGAACACCCCTCCATCACTAGCCATCCCCTTACTGGGTTTCATTTTTCTTCCCAGCTCTTCTCTCTCCACAATATTGCTATATATTTATGTATTTGTCTCTCTCCTTCCAGAGATTTGGGGTGATCGTTATAACCCCCAGATCATTAAATAGTGCCTGAGAAACAGAGGGCTCAGTTTAAGTGTGCTGGGTGATAACCAAAATCAGATATGATGAAAAAATGTTACTTGGCTTCTAAAGAGATAAATAAGTGAGCCGGGTGCGGTGGCTGACACCTGTAATTCCAGCACTTTGGGAAGCCAAGGCAAGCGGGATGCCTGAGCTCAGGAGTCCTAGACCACCCTGAGAAACGTGGCAAAACCCCATCTCTACTAAAATACAAAAAATTAGCTGAGAGCGGCGACCTTCGCCTGTAGTGCCAGCTACTCGGAAAGCTGAGGCAGGGGAATCACTTGAACCAGGGACGCGGAGGTTTGCAGTGAGCCTAGATCGCATCACTGCACTCCAGCCTGACGACAGAGCGGGACTCCGTCTCCAAAATAAAAGAAGAGATAAATAAGCATTTTTTTTTTTTTTTAGACAAGTTTCGCTCTTGTTGCCCAGGCTGCTGGAGCAATTATCCAGCCTCAGCCTCCCGAGTAGCTGGGATTACAGGCATGTGCCACCATGCCCGGCTAATTTCGTATGTTTTAGTAGAGACGGGGTTTCTCCATGTTGGTCAGGCTGGTCTCGAACTTCTGACCTCAGGTGATCCGCCCGCCTTGGCCTCCCAAAGTGCTGGGATTACAGCCGTGAGCCACCGCGCCTGACCTAAATAAGCAATTGTTTAAAAGCAGATTATTAAAGGGTTAACAGCCTGGTGCATTGTCTTATGTCTGTATTCCGAATACTTTTGGAAGCCGTGGCGGGAGAATCACTTGAGTTCAGGAGTTGGAGACCAAGCTGGACAAAACGGTGAAACCCCCGACTGTTCTAAAACTAAAAACTAAGTAAGTAACTAAATAAATAATAGCCTGGCGTGATAGCACGCACCTGTGGTGGTAGCTACATGGGTGGCTCAGGTGGGGGGATTGCTTGAGCCCGGGAGTTCGAGTCCTGGTCATGCCACTGCACTTCAGCCTGGGCGAGACAGAGCGAGACCCTGAGAAATAAGAAGAGAAAGAAAGGAAAAGATTAGCACAGTGACCGTCTCTTTGGTGTAACCATAAATATCTTAAGAGAACAGTGCCGGGCACATTGGGAATCTCAACAAAGTTGTTTCCGTTATCCAACTCCAACCAGAATTTAGGAAGAACTTTGCTGTCTTGTTCCCGCTATAACCAATGACTCAGCAAATATTTGTGGCGTGAGTGGGTGACCCTCTCCTTTTATCAACGGGTAAACAGCCCGCGGAAAGTAAAAGTGACTTAGCCAAAGTCTCCGCAGGCATTCGGGGCAGAGTCGGGACTAGCAGAGTAGTGTATATACCAGCATATATAGTATCCTGACTCTCGTGGTAAGGCTTGCTCTACTGTAGTTATTAATTCCCCTGGCCACACAACCAGGTCTAATCTGGCCAAAGTTTTCTATTCTTTTTTAATTTTATTATTTTTTCTTTTTCTTCTTTTCTGTTCTTAAGCTAAGAAAAAAGGAAGAGACACGGAAACTCTGTTTTGCAATAGACAAGAAGACCGAAGAATCAAAAGCCCTGCTTCCGGCGGCGCAGCAAAATCCTCCCGCAGCCCAGTCCTGTCACGTGACCACGCATGGCACGCCAGCCGCGTGACCTTTTGTGCCGAATTCCGCGCAGGCGCAGTGTACCTCTCTTCTGCTATTCCAGACATGGCGGCTCCGCTAGGGGGAATGTTTTCTGGGCAGCCACCTGGGCCTCCACAGCCCCCGCCGGGCCTCCCGGGCCAACCTTCACTTCTTCAGGCAGCTCCAGGCGCTCCTAGACCTTCCAACAGTACTTTGGTGGACGAATTGGAGTCATCTTTCGAGGTAATATAAGACATAGGAATCTTTGTTTCCAGCCTTCCCTTTTTCCTGAAACGTGAACCGCGCATGCTCATATCTCTCCAGGCATCTCAGCAGCTGATTTACAGATAGGAAAACCGAAGCTTAAAGAACTTAAGTCACTTCCTTTAGGCTTCCCAGTGGCCTGTATTCAATTCAGGTCGGCTGCCGGAGGCGCGTAAACTGGACGTTTCTGGAAATGTGGAGTGGGAAATTTGCCTAACCCCCAACTTTGGAACCCTTCCAGATTCCCAGCCGGCGTTGCCGTACCAGCCTGTCCTTGGTCCCATCCCTGAGCCCCGTTTCTTGCATTCCTACATGTTAATAAGGGGCTCAAGCCTTTTCGGAGCTTAAAGTTTCACTGCTGTGTCCTGTCTCTTTTCCACTGGACTTCACCCTTAAACGATCCTGAAGTAATGGGACTCTTAGAGCGGAAATTGACTTCAGTTACTAGGCATAGCTTGGTACTAGGGGCTGAGGAAAGAGGAATGTTGGTGGCTGGGGAGGGAGGGAGGCAAAGATGATCCAATCTCCGAGTTCTGCCCAAGGAGTTTACCTTTCAGCAAGGAAGGTGAACTGTGTATTGAGGGACGTTGGAGAGGTGAAAATAAATGGTTTGGTGATTTCCAGTGGTCTTTAAAGTGGAAGATGAGCTACTCGTGTGTAGTAATAAAGTAATATAACTTCAAATTGGAGCTAACTTTTCCACATTTTAAGTCCCAGTTTTGTGACTTTTATACTGTATCTAATAGCACAGTGGTACATGAATATAATTTATAAACGATATTAATCAGGCTGTATGTGCCACGGGCTGTACAAAGATTTAGAAATAAATGATTTAAAGGACAGAGAAATCTGCCCTATTTGGGAAGAGGAGGAGAAGGAGACACCTTTGAGGTCGTGCTAAGTGGTAAAGGAAGAGGATGGTGAGCTTTAGAGCAGAATCTAGCATTGTTCTTGAGGTGAGGTGGCTCTCAGTCATGGGCACTTGCAGAAAGACTGGCCCTGTACAAGTCTTAGCCAAAGTTGACTCCCAGCACCCTGCTGCTTAAAAACTTACAGTGGCTGCTTGTTGCTCTTGAGATAAGAGCAAGATGTTTAGTGTGGTCTCCCAGGCTTTGCATGTTGAGTTCTCTCCGTCATACTCATTTCCTCTTACTCCAGCCACACAGGACTTTCCCACATGTACCATTTGTTTTCTCTTTGGGCTTCCAGGCCCCTCCTCAGATCATCGCATCACTTCCTCAGTGGACCCTTCCCTGGCCTTCTTTTTAATACTTACCATTAAACCAGGCTCCATGAAGTCAGAGACTACCTGTTTTGTACCCACACTCTTCACATTTTGTATCCTGTAGTGCTAATACAGTGGTAGTAGATAGCAACTGCTAGATGAATATTTGTCAGACATTGAAGGAGCCTTTAGTGTGATTGCCTGTGCACAGAACTCCTTGGCTGATTCACGTATGCGTCTGTAGGTGCCCTTTAGAGAGAACTCCCTCTGGGACTTGATTATCCGTACAGAGAATACGGAGAAAACCAGTCTCTGCCTTCAGGAAGCTTGTGATAAACGGCAGGCAGTTGCCTTGCTGTAGGATCAGTGCTCTGTTAGAAGAAACCTAGGGTACTGTGGGAGCACATATGGGCATGTACATCAAAGAAGGCTTGCTAGAGAGCATGAAAGCCAAAGCAGCATTTTGATTTAGCCAGGTGAAGGGGAGAGGGAGAGGTGCTAGCTGGATTCTCTGCTGCTGGGTGATCACCTGTCTAGTCTTATCTCAAGATTCAGTTCAAAGGCCACATTTTCACTGGAATTTTTCCTGTTTCCTTCCTTGTGTTCTGTGTGAACCTCAATTTTCACAGCCTCCAGTGGCACATGGCAGCACCTGCTCACCTGCTTCTCATTCCTGTTGGGTTGCCACCTCTTGAGGTCTCTGTCTTTCTTGCTCATTCAAGCTGCTCAGATGCCACCTCTTGAGGTCTCTGTCTTGTTCATTCTAGCTGCTCAGTACATGCTCTTTGATGGAAGGAGTTTATAGGGCTCATGCACTCTTGATTTTGGAGGGAATGTTGGAGACCATTTAGTCCCATTTCCTCCATTTAATGGATAGAGAAACTGAGGCTCAATGAGGGGAACTAACTTGCTCAAAGTGAGCCATTGGGTTTGTAGAAATGAGGACTAGCACTTACTTTCCAGGCAAAGGCTCTGTTGTAGCCATGCTTTTAAAAAGCTGTTCTCTTCCTAGGCAGATCCTGTGGCTCACACCTGTAATCCCAGCACTTTGGGAGGCCAAGGTGGCTGGATCCCTTGAGGTCAGTTCAAGACTAGCCTGGCCAACATGGTGAAACCCCATCTCTAACTAAAAATACAAAAATTAGTGGGCTGTGGTGGCACACGCCTAAGGCTGAGGCAGGAGAATTGCTGAAACCTGGGAGGCAGAGGTTGCAGCGATCCAAGATCATGCCACTGCACTCTAGCCTGGGCAACAGAACAAGACTCCGTCTAAAAAAAAATAACAAAAAATCGAAACGGTTATTTTTTTTCTAGACTACCACACATTTTCTTCTCAGTACAGCTGTACAACTGTCTCTAAAGGCCTGTATATCTTTTTTTTTCCCTGAGACAGTCACCCAGGCCAGAGTGTAGTGGCATGATCTTGGCTCACTGCAGCCTCCACTTCCTGGGCTCGAGTGGTCCTCCTGCCTCAGCCTTCTAAGTGGCTGGGACTACAGGTGCGCACCACTATGTCTGGCTAATTTTTGTTTTAGTAGAGACAGGGTTTCACCATGTTGCCCATGCTGGTCTTGAACTCCTGGACTCAAGTGATCCACCATGTCTGGCCCCTAATTTTTTTCTTAAGGGGATGGAGGGGAGTAAAATTCTTGAGATCAGATTTCCTGCCACCCTGACTGGTGGGCCTTTTTGGCCAGTTTGTGGCTGGTTGGCCTCTTGATGGGATGTTTTCCAGTAGCCATAGGATTCACAAAAGACGTACAGCCTATCCACATCCCAAACCCAAGAGGAGTCAGCTTTCAGAGTAATCCCAAGAATGGGCAATCTGTTTTTCTGATTTACTTTTTCTGTAAATCAAGTGTGGGAGTTACAGGTAGGCAGAATTTTTGTTTCTCGAAGGGCCCTCACAGGTAGTTAATGCACTAACTTTGGGCTCAGATCTGCCTGCCTCACACCAAGTGTAGTTTCCTAATTGCTGACAGAGCTCTGCTTTCCTGCGTTTGAGGCTCCTTTCCAACCCCTGCTCCTCCACCTGCCATCCTGCTCTCTTTCTGTGCCTCCCCAATCTTCCTACCCACTTCCTGCAGTGGGCCTGGTATTTCCTTAGAGTTGCTTATGGACAGAACTCCTTGGTTGATTGGCATTTGCATCTGTATAGGTGCCCTTTAGAGAGAGCTCTCTCTGGGACTTTTGATTATATCCATGTGACACCAACCTTGTCCTCTTACGCCATCCAGTCAATCATTAATATGTGTTATTAAACACTTCCCTTGTGCCAAGGCAGTGTTCTTGGCATTAGGAGGACAGTGGTGAATAAGAGACAAAATTTTCACCTACTAATAGGGGACAGATAATAATGGATGAAAATAACAGGTATGATGTCAGTTAATTATGTGAAAAACAATAAAGCTGTGCTTGGGGTTGGAGCGTGAGCAGGAGAGTCACCATTTAGAAAGGGTAGACCAGCTGGTCTCTCTGAGGGGGAGAAGATTGACCTGAGTCCTGAATGGGTGGTCATATGAGTTGTATAAGCATCAGCAATAGGCCACAGTGGGGCTGGAAGGGTGTCTGGGCCTGGTGTGGAGTAAGATAAAGGGAAGGGGCATGGGGTAGCACAGAGACCAGATGTAATGCCGGCTCATTTGCCTAGTGCTTCCTTTGTGGGCCTAATTGGTAAACTCAGTTTACCAGGTGTTTCGGTTGGCATGATGTCTTACTGTCTCATGTGCAAACACAGATGCTGCCACCTCATCAAATGACTTCAGGAGAAGTTATTTCTTCCTCTGGAATGAGATTTTTGATGCGTGAACAACATTTTTTTCTTTCCTATGTTTTGATTACACAGGCTTGCTTTGCGTCTCTGGTGAGTCAGGACTATGTCAGTGGCACTGATCAGGAAGAAATTCGAACTGGTAAGCATTCCCTCTGTGTACACAAGGTTCTTGGCCTCAGCAGGATTTCCTAGTTGCTAATTTTATACTTCATGTGTTTCAGTCCTGCTTTTATCCTAAGAGAACAGTTCAGGGACTAAAATGTGTGCACATAATCTCTATTAGCTGCTGGTTCTTGGTTCACCTTTTTAGTTGACATCTTATATCACTGATAACGAACCATTTATAATGAGCTCTTCATATTGGTGCTAGGTAAAGAAGAGTAATAGTGTGTACTGCTTTTTAAAAAAAATTTTATTATTTTTGGAATGGGCCTTACAGAGAAAAGTCTCTTGTACGTTTTTTTATTCCCCAAGTTCTGTCTCTAGAGATAACCAGAGCTTCTGATTTCTTTGTACCATATTTTACATATTGTTTTTTTTTTTTGGTTTTTTTTTTGAGACGGAGTAGCACTCTGTCACCCAAGCTGGAGTGCAGTGGTGCAATCTCAGCTCACTGCAACCTCCAGCTCCTGGGTTTAAGCTGTTCTCTTGCCTCAGCCTCCTGGGTAGCTGGGACTACAGACGTGTGCAGCCACGCCCCGCTAATTTTTCATATTTAATAGAGATGGGGTTTCACCGTGTTAGCCAGAATGTTCTCAAATCTCCTGACCTCATGATCCGCCCACCTCGGCCTCCCAAAGTGCTGGGATTACAGGTGTGAGCCACTGTGCCCTTTCTTTTTTTAAGATACACTTTCACTCTGGTTGCCCAGGCCGGAGTGCAATGGTGTGATCTCAGCTCACTGCAGCCTCTGCCTAACGGGTTCAGGCGATTCTCCTGTCTCAGCCCCCCAAGTAGCTGGGACTACAGGCGTGCATCACAATGCTCAACTACTTTTGCATTTTTAGTAGAGACGTGGTTTCGCCATGTTGCCCAGCCTGGTCTGAAACTCCGGACCTTGGGTGATCCACCTGTCTCAGTCTCCCAAAATTCTGGGATTGCAGGCCTGAGCCACCACGCCCAGCTCTCACCCTTTAAGAAAGAAGTGCAGTGGCACGATCTCTGCTTACTGCAGCCTCTGCCTCCTAGGCTCAGGTAATCCTCCCACCTCAGCCTCCTGAGTAGCTGGGACCACAATGTAAGCCACCACATGTAGCTAATTTTTGCGTTTTTATTTTTCGTGGAGAGGAGATTTTGCTGTATTGCCCAGGCTGGTCTTGAACTCCTAGGCTCAAGCAATCTGCCTGCCTCAGCCTCCCAAAGTGCTGGGATTACAGGTGTGAGCCACTGCACTCGGCCTTTGCATAGTCTTTTTAAAGAAGATCTCATGGCTTTCATGCTATATTAAGGTCTCTCTCTTTTTCTTAACCTGAGAAAAGCATGAGTTATTTGCCGTTTAGTGTTGGTTAACACATGAGAAGTTGGGGGTTATTATTACCGCTGTGGCTAAGATTAAAATCTATGAGTCATCTATGAGAAGGCTCTGTTTTTACATTCTGATTATTCATTGATGAGGGAGATAAATGTATATAGTGTTTTTCTTATATTAATCTTTTTGGTCTTTTTTTTTTTAAAGGTGTTGATCAATGTATCCAGAAGTTTCTGGATATCGCGAGACAGACAGAGTGTTTTTTCTTACAAAAAAGATTGCAGTTATCTGTCCAGAAACCAGAGCAAGTTATCAAAGAGGTATGAACTCAGTTTTCATCTCAGCTTCTATAGGAGGAACTAAGTGGTGCCAGGATTCCTTTTATGCTTTAGATGAGATGTACTTGTTTCTCGCGAGTCTCAGTCAGGCTTTATAGGTCAGTGTGAAATGTGGCTAGTCATCAGTGTTTGGGACAACCTGAACAAGAAGTGAAGTCAATGAATGGGGTTCAAAAAGAGAGTGTCAGGTAGAACAGCTCTGATCTGATTTGTGTCATACATTGGCCATCAGGAAAGATTTTTCTTAAAAGATTCTGCCATGTGAAAAACGTTGAAAACCCATCATTTTGGACAAAAACTGAGATCTCTGTCCCCATGCCTTACCCATCGCCTTGCACATAGGAATCCAAGGAATCAAAAAGTAGTGTTCTGACCCAGGGTCCTTGAAACTGAGGATTTCATTGATCTCAGTTGCTCTAAGCTGGGGCATTTGGAAGTGTATTGGGGTTGCCACAATGACTTGGGAAGCTTTAATGGTATTGAATGGGTTGGGCCAGGACCTGCCCCATGCAGTGTGGAAGAGTGAAGAACCGTCTTGCCAAAAAAGCCAGTGATGCCCTCAGTGAGAAACACTGAATTGAGATTATTGGGGGCAGTTTTTGAAGTAACTAGTCCCAATTAATCAAAGTCACTTTCCATTCATGATACCAGGTGTTGGGGATAGATAGATATTCTCATAGTTTATCATGTCGGATCATTTCCTGATGTGAATACATGAATAACACTGCAGGTATGTCCAAGACTGGGTCTTTAGTAAACGATTTAATGCTGTTGTTCATAAAAAGCTCTTGAAAAATATAATTTTAACAGTTCATAATCTGAAGTGATAGAGTGCTGTGGATTTTTTGTACACAGTTGTTGACAGCTGTTTTAGGTTCTCAGCAGTAACCTTTGGAGAGAGGTACTGGGTGGCTGGAGACTAGGATGGGGCAGAGTCTGCGTGTTAGTCCGTTTTCACACTGCTGGTAAAGACATACCCGAGACTGGGCAGTTCACAAAAGAAAAAGGATTTAATGGACTCAACAGTTCCACGTGGCTGGGAAGGCCTTACAATCATGGCAGAAGGTTAAAGACTCATCTCATGTGGCGGCAGACAAAAGAAGAGGGCTTGTGCAGGGAAACGCCCATTTTTAAAACCATCAGATCTTTTGATACTTACTACCAGGAGAACAGCGTGAGAACAACCTGCCCACATGATTTAGTTGCCTCCTACCAGACTTCTCCCGTGACACATGGGAATTGTAGCAGTTACAATTTAGGATCAGATTGGGTGGGGACACAGCCAAACCATATCAGTCTGATTTTTTTTTGGCTGCCCTTTGGTACGTTTTGAATTTTGTAACTTGCATATTACTTTCTATAAGAAAAATAAACATAGGCGGGGCATGGTGACTCATATCTGTAATCCCAGCATTTCAGGAGGCCAAGGTGGGTGGATGACTTGAGGTCAAGAGTTTGAGATTAGCGTGACCAACATGGCAAAACCCCATCTCTACTAAATATACAAAAATTAGCCAGGCATGGTGGCATGTTCCTGTGATCCCAGCTACTCAGGAGGCTGAGGCAGGAGAATCACTTGAACCCTGGAGGTGGATGTTGCAGTGAGCCCAGATGGCACCACTGCACTTCAGCCTGGGTGACAGAGTGAGACTTCGTCAAAAAAAAAACCCAAAACAAAACAAAAACTTGGTTAGAATCTATCATTTGGGTTATTCAAACAGTGCAGCCAAGCAGAATAATGGACTTAATATGGTTTAATGGATAATTTTTGTTTTGAATTCTTAGCCTCTTAACTAACCAGAACCATGTATGTTTTCCCTGAGTTTGCTCTGACTTACTCTATCGCTTTTATCTGCAGGATGTCTCAGAACTAAGGAATGAATTACAGCGGAAAGACGCGCTAGTCCAGAAGCACTTGACAAAGCTGAGGCACTGGCAGCAGGTGCTGGAGGACATCAGTGTGCAGCACAAAAAGCCAGCCGACATCCCTCAGGGCTCCTTGGCCTACCTGGAGCAGGCATCTGCCAACATCCCTGCACCTCTGAAGCCAACCTGAGCAAAGGGCAAAGGCACTCGGACTGTGAGTGGGCTGGTGCGTGAGGTTGGCCACAAATTTTTTCCTGTGGACTTGAAATTTTGGAAGAATTCTTTGCCAGATAATGAGTTCATTTTAGTTTTATGCTCCCATTGAAAAATTTTCCACTATTTTTATAAGCTGTTACTTTCTTGAGTACATTAAGGGTCTGTAGCTTGGATAAATCAAGTAAATTTTTTTTTTGTCTTTAGCAAAGTTTTGACTGTGAGTGTGACGATACAGATTCTTTTTTATGGTGGTTTTGCTTGTTTTTAAATTTTTGTATGACTTTTCATTTTTTTTTTCATCTTTTTATGTGTGTTTCCTGTAGTTTGATCTAAAGGAAAAAAGCATAATAGCCTGAGAATTAGGAGAAGGGGATTTTAGCTGTAGGCCTTACGATAATTACCCCTCAGTGGTGAGTAGAAAAGTATGTAAATTTGCTCTGTTTTAAGACTTTGAACTACCTCAAGAAGAGGAATCTAACACAATATTTGTAATGTTTTCAGAGCTCTCAGAACGAGGATTTTTTTGTAAATAGGTCAGAAGAAGACTGAACTGTCTTGGGTTAGTGTAGTAATCTTACAGTAGGATCCTTAGGTTGATGCTGACCTCTGTTTGGGGTATGTTTGTATTTTATATGGTGTTTACTTTTTCTTCGATACGGAGGGATGTAGTGGGAACAGTGATACGCTTACATTTATTACATTTTGCAGTAATGAATCCATTTAATGGGGCAGACACTGTTTTCACTAGTCTGACAGTGGGGGTATAGGTGAGCTATGAGGGGCTAAAGCTTGCTGTGATTGTCTATTTCTGTTTTGAGTTTTCTTTGTATGTATCATTTTTGTTTTCTGTTTTGGGAGGGGAAACATTTTCCATTAAGGAAGGTTGTTGCCGGTGGATTTGACTCCGAGGGAGTAGAGTGTCATGGTGAGGGTGGAGGGGATGCAGGGTGATCATTGGCTACTGAGCCTCCACAAAGAGCATGTGGCGCCTCTGCCTTTGGAAGGATATTTTGCTCTCGTTAGTTTTGCAGGCAACCTTGGATTTGCTGTTGAGTTGCTGTTATGAAATGGAGACCAGCATTGTTTCTGCCTCTCGTTGGTTAGGTTTTCTGAGTTTTATAGTCTTTTATTAGATCGTATTAGATCACATCTCTTTACCCAGAACAAATGCTTCACTATCTTCTGACTGGCAGTACTCCTGTGGCTCTGTGCCTTGCGTCATTTTATTTTCTTCAGCCATGAAGGCCCCTTCCCACATGCACTGACATCCACTCGTGTGCCTGGTCCCTGAAGCCTCCCAGCACCTGTTCTGTTACATCCCCAAGGCATGGGACTTTGATCTCTTCTGCTGCCCTTGCTAGGTTCTCCCTGGTGGTTAGAGCTTTGTATCAGTCTCTCTGCCCCTCACAATTATAATTGTGGATTTTTACCTACTCTAATTCAATGATGCTAATGAGAATTAGACATTATTCCCCTTATATAGGGACCATATAGTCTTTATCTTTTTGTTGTGTGTATATATGGTATCTGGCAAATGGATCTGTGATTACCAGCCTGACACCAACAAATCCCCTCAGTTAGGATACATAGATTAAACAAAGCTCGAAAAGCTCATATGCTATGACCTCAAGGTTGTTAACCTGATCATCTCATGGTAATTAGAAACTCTGATTGGCAGCTTTATATTTCTTGATTAAAAACCTAAATAAACTGATTAGGTTTTAGGTATTCTTTCAAAGAGGTTCTTGATTAAAAGATTGAGAACTATCCTGTTTGGTGCTTAGTGAAAAGATTTTGAATTACTGTATGTAACAGTTATTGCCATTTCTTTATTAAATTCAGAAGCTTTTTTGCCAAATAAATAAAAATTTTCCAATCTTGTCTGTTTGTAAACATCTTGCTGAGTGAGGAATAACCCTCTAAGAAACCCTCTGAGCTGTTGACTTTTTCAGGGAGAAAATCACAAGCCGTCCTCTGAAGTTCCCCTCTCAACTACTGTAAATGCCCTTGACCAAGTCACTGCCCTGGTACCGGGGAGTGGAGTATTATGTCATGGAAGAAAGACTCCTCTCATTGTCCAGGGTTGGGTTCTGGTCTGGTGTGGTGCTTGACCTTAGGCCTGCCCATAGTCTTCAGGCTTTCAACTTCCAAACAAACATCTGTGCCATACACATTCTGTAAATGATCTCGCTGAATCTTCTAGAAGGCTTATAACAGAATCAATATTGTTGTTCCCATTTTCACAGATAGATAATAAATCTGTAAAATACAGATAAGACTAAGACCTATCCCCCAGGATTATTTTTGCAGACTGAAGGACATGTTGAATGGGAAGTCAGTAGCAAGGGTGCCAGAATGTGTAGCAAGTGCTCTTCGGGTGTTAGTGATTTCTGTGGTTCCAGAAAGAGAAGGATTATGGACGAAGTATATGGGATTTAGGAAGTTTAAGTGGTTTGCCCACAGTCGAGAGACTAGTCTTTAATCCTTGGCAGAAACAGGATTTGATGTAGGTTTTCACACCTCTCTTCTCTGGTCAATGTGTTGATAACAGCCTACCTACCTAGGGTTCCAGGGTGTTCTTAAGAAACCAAGGTTGTCTTGGGTGTGGTAGCTCTTTGAAAAGTAGAAAGTTCCACCAGAAGGCCTTTCTCCTCAAATACTACTTAGTTTCCTTGTCAGGCTCCCAGATGCAGATTGCCTGTGGGCTGTCACTCTCCACAGGTAAAGCTACCCACATCTTCATGACAGGCTTTTTTTTTGAGACGGAGTCTGCTAATAAAAAAAAAAGAGCAGTTACAGCCTTTATCCCTACTCTAGTCCAGCTTCCTATAGATAAGATGTATTGAGATGCCCAATCCTACAGTTGCCCTCACTCTGACAGCGTCCAATCTGAATGAATCCTCACTTCTTGGAATCACCCAACCAAGGCCAAAATCCTAAAAGAGGTTCTGACACCCTCTGTCTGAGAAGCCCTACTATTCTCTGTGATGAATGTTCTCCCTCACCACAACAAGTAATAGACCCAACTTGTTCAAATACAGTTGTTTCTAGTAGCATTTCGCTGAAGGCATTCACACCCCCAACGAATGTCTTACACTTCTAATTGTGTCTTGGGGTGTGCCTCATGGAAGACCCTACTGAGACAATTGTGCCTGGATGTGGTCTGAGAGCAGACAGTAGGACGAAGCTTGGGGACTGACTCATTCACTATCCAACTGGCAACAAAACACATCCAGAACAGTGTGTGAGGTATGGACAGTCGCTGGCACAAGGGGGCGGCCCAGTTGCTGAGGATTCTACCAGTGATGCCCTGGGAAAATATCCCCAGGGAGGGGAATGTGTGGAATGAAACCTGTGGGAGGTAAGGGGAGTACTTCACAAAAGGACAGTAGAGTGTCAGTTTCCTGCAGGGGAATAGTGAGAAACTGATGAGATGACTGAGTACCCAGGGCCTCTGTGGTTATCTTTGAGGACCTGGTAGAAATTAGTCAATCAAAAACAATACTGAGGCCAGGCACGGTGGCTCATGCCTGTTAATTCCAGCACTTTGGGAGGCTAAAGTGGGCGGATCACTTTGAGGTCAGGAGTTCGGGACCAGCCTGGCCAGCATGGTGAGACACTGTTTCTACTAAAAATATAATTAGGTGGGCATGCTGGCAGGTGCCTGTAATCCCAGCTACATAGGAGGGTGAGGCAGGAGAATTGCTTGAAACCGGGAGGTGGAGGTTGCCAGTGAGCTGAGATCGCGCCACTACACCCCAGCTTGAGCGACAGAGCAAGACTCTGTCTCAGAAACAAACAATACTGTATCCTGGGGGTGGAGGGGAGGTGATGGTGAAGATCAGTGCTACCCTTGGAAATCTGACAGATGCCAGTAAGATGGTCCCAATCATACATCCATGTAATTTGTCAGCCTGATCTGCAGAATCCTGATGGATGCTGGAGAAAAACTGTCAACCAAGTAACCTCAATAACAATTGCTGGGTTGGAAATTACATCAGTGTTAGAGCAGTTCAGGGCTCAGGTACGTGGTATGCAGCCATTGACTGGGCGAATCCATTCTTACCTATCCCAGTTATGGAACACTTTGCATTCATGTGGAACAGAGTATTCCTTTCAGTTTTACTGCAGGAACATGTTAACTTCTCCGCTGTCATAATAAGCAGCCTGAAGAGATTTACCATCAAATCCCGTTGTTTCTCTCTCCCAACTTAAACCCATATTGGATAATTTATCTCCATCTCCACTGTAACCTTCACATCCTCACTGTCATCTCTAGACCACTCTGCTCTTGAGAGACTGATGGAATCATTATTCAAACTAAAATAGGAAGAATGTTTTATCTATCAAATTGTATTTTTTGTCAATAGTGTTAGAGCACAGACAGTTTCATTTACTGCTGGTGAGGGTGTAAATTACTAGAAACTTTTTGAATGGCAGTCTGATTAAATCAAACAAAGAGCTTAAGTTTGTGTCCTTAAATGCCTTCCTTGAATACTCAAGGCACGTGGCCTCAAGAAAAAAATTATAGAAGCATGCAAAGATTTTGTTAACAAAGATATAATCACTGCAGGGTAGAATTTAGAAATTTAAGATTTTTTAGTCATCTGCAACAAGAAAGGAGTCAAAACAGATGTAGGGTCTCAATTAGTAAAATTCTCTCCCTGCCCAGAGATTATGCTGAGTTAAGGGACAGAAATGCAAAGTGTAGCCTGCTTTGCTAGTTACCAGGAATTACACTATGTTGGGGAAATGTTTCAACACACAAAAATAGAACCACCTGTATGTAATCTTTTTGAAAGCACAAAATAAAGAGCAGTCCTACAACGTTCACTGCTGCGGTCTGAATGTTGGTATCCCTCCCAGAATTCGTAGGTTGGAACCTAATGTCAATGTAATAGTATTAAGAGGTGGGGCTTTTGGGACGCAGTGGATTCATGAGGGCTTCACCCTCATGAATGGGATAAGTACTCTTACAAAAGAAGCTTAGGGATGATCTCTTGCCTCTTCCACCTTATAAGGATACATAGCAGGCACCCATCTCTAAGGAATGGGCCCTCACCAGATTCCAAACCTGCTGGTGCCTTGATCTTGGATTTAGCCTCTAGGACTGTGAGCGATACATTTCTATTATTTATAAATTATCTAGTATAAGTAAGATATTTTGTTATAGCAGCCTAAACCAGCTGAGACACCCTAAGAAAAGAAAAAATATTTGGTAATGAAAAACAATATGGCATGCTACATGTATAGTGACAAGTATTTGCATTTAAAAATGTATTGGGACCTTGTTTTGATTAGACAGGAAATTCACCTTTAATACGTAAGTTTAGTTTTCTGTCAACATGACAGTTATAATATGTAATCAGCTTTGCTTTTTTGAAGATTATGTGATTGAGGTTAATGGGAACTGAACTTTCTGTTTCCAAGCTGTCCTCATTTTACCTTTCTTTAAAAAAATCAGTACAAGTCAACCATTTTTATTGCCCAGCTGTTCAAAGTTTTATTCAAAGAGCAAAGGTTTGACAATGCATAGAATTAACATTGGTTTGTGGGCCACTTCCTGGGCCAGCACCAAAGACTGAAAAAGTATTTAACCCACTGAAAGTTGCATTGAGTCTTGTCAAATCACATTGCTCCGTCAGAAGGTAAGACAAGACAGTGTGGACTGAGAGCAGTGTAAGCACCATGAACAGCCATTCCAGTTCCTTTAATCCACTGGAAATCCATGCAGTGAAGAAGCAACGCACCATGAGACAAATGGCTCCAACCCAAAGACCAGAGGTTCAGGAGTTTGTTGTTGTTTGTTTTTATCTGTAGAGATGGGGTCTCACTGTGTTGCCCAGGCTGATCTCGAACTCTTGGGCTCATACTATTCTCCTGCTTCAGCCTCCTAAGTAGCTGGGACGACAGGTGCCCATCACTGTGCCTGGCTAATTCTTTTTGTAGAGATGGAGGGTCTTACTGTGTTGCCCAGGCTGGTCTCAAATTCCTGGCCTCAAGTTCTCCTCCCATCTCGGCCTCCCAAGGTGTTGGGATTACAAGCATGAGCCAGGTGCCCAGTCTAGAAGATCTTTGACTTCAAATACCAGATCGTCTAGAGGCCTTCACAAATGATCAGGTTGACACTGCAGTCATTAAATTGAGACCTATAACGGCTGGGCTTGGTTATTTACAGAAAAACCTGTGGTGCTTAATTCCAATTCATGTTAACTTACATTATCTTGCATAATCCTTTCAAAGCCCTTTTAGAGGTAGGTGTTATCCCATCTATATATAATCTGCTGCTTGTCTTAGACCAAGCAAGTGAAAAATTCAATCCAAGCATGCTACCATCCATTTCTGGTAGGTTTGGTTTGTTTTCTTTTTAGTTGGCTTTCCTGTTTATTTTGAACTTTTATTCGTCTTCCTCTTGAGGTTAGATGTGCATTTTGGAATTGTATCATTTTACATAGAAAAAACTCATCTGTGAGTTGACTAGCATCCTAAGGACAGTTAAACCACTTTTAAAGTAGATCATGGAAGTCACAAAGTCTGATATTCCACAAAATGGAGTATGATGTTTTAGACACTAGAAATACAATATAGGTCATTAGTAATGCAAATAACATTTCCCTGTAGATGCTTTTTAATAACACTGGTTTGTTCAATGTCAAGATATTTGTCATGAACTGTCACCATGGAAAAATATGATTTTTTTTTCTTTTTTTTGAGACAGGGTCTCCCTCTGTCACCCAGGTTGGTTGGAGTGCAGGAGTTCCATCTTGGCTCACTGCAACCTCTTCTTCCCAGGTTCAAGTAATCCTCCCACCTCAGCCCCCCAACTACCTGGGACCACAAGCACATGCCGCCATGCCTGGCTAATTTTTGTATATTTTATACAGACTGGGTTTCACCATATTACCCAGGCTGGTCTCAAATTCCTGGACTCAAGCGATCTCTCTGCCTCAGCCTCCCAAAGTGCTGGGATTACAGGCATGAGCCACGGTGCCTGGCAGAACAGTATGAAATGTTAATGCAAAAATTTGTTTTAGCTATCATATATAAATCATATTACAAGCATATTATTTGGTTGGTTGGTTTTAGTTCATTCCTTCAATCAGATGATTTAAAAGAAATGTTTTTCAGGTATCCTCTTTGTGATGTATCTGAAAGATTAGCTTAGAAAGAAAAGTACTTGGTAAACCATTCCTGGTGCGGAGAGCCCTGTTTCTGCTGGGCTTCTTTGGGTTGATCCGTTTCACCGTCTGGTGTCCTAAAAACAAGAAAATGTTTTTTATATGGTTTAAATATGCAGTAAACAACTTAATACCCACCATAGTTTCAGAGAAAGATAACTGCTTATTTACTCTTCAGAAATACACGAATGGGACCAGCCAATAATTAGTAATGAGAAGCAAGTTGAAAAGGATGGGGCTGGGGAGGGAGTGTCTAATTCCCATTTTGAAAACAGAAGATTCACCATTGTTTATTTCTCTGTTGTTCCTTTGAGACTTAGTGATTATAGCTCTGATAATTATGCAGGATTAACCAAACTTAAAGATTAAGGGACTTTATTTTTATTTTTTTTTGAGACAGAGTCTCCCTCTGTTGCCCAGGCTAGAGTGCACTGGCATGGTCTTGGCTCACTGCAACCTCCAGGCTCCTGGGTTCAAGTGATCAATGTTCCTCAGCCTCCCAATTAGCTGGAATTACAGGCGCAGACCACCACACCCAGCTAATTTTTGTAGTTTTTGTAGAGATGAGTTTGCCATGTTGGCCAGGCTGGTCTCAAAAATCTGACCTTAGGTGATCTACCCACCTCGGCCTCCCGGAGTGCTGGGATTACAGGTGTCAGCCACCGTGCCTGGCCTGATTAAGAGAGTTTAGAATTCCAAGGGGATACAGTAAATCTTGAGGAATAATATTAGTAATAATACTGAAACTATATTAAAGATTTCTGTGCTAAGTCCTGTGCTAAGTATGTCCTATGGATTAATGCCTTTAGTCTCACATTAGTCTGATGAGATAGATGCTATATTGTCTTCATTTTAGAGGCAAGGATATGGTAACCTGGAGAGGTCAAGTGACCTGTCCAAGACCACACAGCTAAGAATGAGGAGGAGTGTGATTTGAATTCAGACCTCCAGGCCAGATGGGGTCTACCTTTTGTGTAACCCATTCTGAAGTTTTCAGCTAAGTGATTCAGTGTCCCTTATCTAATCATGCATGAAAAAGGGCCTTCTGGAATTCGGTACCGGGAATAGTACTCCTTCCAAATGACATAATTCTCTTCTCTTACACAGTCTTTCCTTTTGGCCGAATTATCATTTTTTCAGGCAAGGCTTGTTTTGCTACTCTTTATATCACCCAAATGCCAAGTACTTAGCAGGTGCCAGAAAGAATCCTAATTTCCCTTTTATCTATGGGGAAACAGAATCAGGGCCTCTGTCCCCAACAACCCCCGGAACCTTGTGGCAGTTTTTGCATCCAGAGACTGGTTGGGTTTGTAGGGCCGGCCACAGCTGGGGCTTGGGTCCAAGCTGGGTGATTTAGTTATTGGAGGGGCATTAATCCTGGAGCTCAGATCGCCACTCAGGAAGTTCTTTGCGTAGGAGGCAAGGTTTGGCACGCTGACCACGCGGCTGGGCACGTCCTCCATCTTCTTCTTCTGTTTGTGTTAATGGAAAGGTTATTGCAATGCAATGCAAAAAAAAAAAAAAAAAGCATTGTTGTAAAAGCAAATAATGCTCACCCAATCAAAATTGCACAGGAGAAGAAGCAACAATTTTATTTATATACTTACATGCTATTTTTTAAAGCACTTTTCCTTCTAATCTTCATTTTGTATTATAAAGATATATGTATGTTCACAATCTCTTAGCCAGAACTTTTGGAGATGGATGTGTTTTGCAACTAAATTTTGTTTAAGATTTTAGAAGGTCATATAACACCCTCAGCAGGAGCTGGGCCCACCATAGCCTCAAATGCATTCACATTTCTGGAGTGAAATTTACATTTCGTCACACTGAGGGATACATAAAAACTACAAATGAGATCACATTAGTTAGGTCACAAGTGTATTGTCCTGTGAATTATTTTTAAAATTTTTTTGAGATGGAGTCTTGCTCTGTTGCCCAGGCTAGAGTTCAGTGGTGTGATCTCGGCTCACTGCACCCTCCGTCTCCTGGGTTCAATCAATTCTCCTGCCTTAGCCTTCCGAGAAGCTGGGATTACAGGCGTCCACCACCACACCCAGCTAATTTTTCTATTTTTTAATAGAGATGGAGTTTCACCATATTGACAAGGCTGGTCTTGAAATCCTGACCTCTAGAAATCCACCCACCTCGGCCTCCCAGAGTGCTGGGATTACAGATGTGAGCCATCACACCTGGCCAAAAATACTATTTTCAAAGATCCTTTAGGATTTTGTGATAGCCTTTAGGATTTTGTGATAGCAGATAAGAGAATCGGATGTGAAAAATTCCAAAAATACATACAGAAATAAGAAGTGGAAGATTCTTACTCTTCTTCTTCCTCCCATTACCTAGATAGAGCTGTTCTTAATACTGACACATATTTACTCTAAAAAGTTTGGAAAATACAAAAACCCATAAAAAATAAAAATCACTCATAATCTGCCCAGCCAGATTACACTATTAGTACTTTGGACTGTTTCTTATGGGTGCTTTTATTCCAATGAATATTTCTCTGAGCGTACACCAGCCCATCAATAACCTGTGGTTACCTTTAAGAAAAATGAAACGAACAGAATTGTATAATGCATTAAAACCAGTAGAACCAATTTACCTTCATGGAAGGAGTCAAATATCCCGGGTGAGGATTGAAAGAAAAAGATCGATTCCGGTGGGACATTGCACTGGGGAATGCTGTGTAGTGAAATCTTCTCTCTTCCTGAAAAAGCAATACAACTGAGTCTAAGTGAACCTAACCACACAGCACTGGGTTTAACCTGAAGGAAGATGACTGTGAGGACAGAATACAGAGAGAAGGAAAGTCCAGGGGAGGAAGGGGAAGGCAGTGAGAATCAAACTGCCAGCCCCTGAAGCTTTGAGGAAGCACCTTTCCTCTTGATCTTTTATGTCCCCAGCCCCTCTTGTAAAGAAAAGGGCAGGTTATGCTTTAGGATACTGGAAATCCAATTGTTCTTGGCATGTGAAGGTAACCTACTGCAGAAAGTAAGGCAAAGAAAGAAAACCTCCAGGTATGCAAAGGATTTCACCTTCTTTCTTCCTCTGTCTTTTGTTTACATTTGTGTTTTCTAACACATACAAACGTAGAGAGGGTAATGAAATCCATCCCCCACTTTACCTATTATAACTGTATGGCCAATCTTGTCTGTATGTGTCATTTTCCACTTTTTTTCTCTCCTGCTGTATTAGTATTAAATTCCAGTTATTACATAAATTTCTCTATAAAAACAATATTTCTAAGAAATAAGGATTACTTTAAAAACTCACAATACCTGTTCACACTTAGCAAATGAGCAATAATTCCTTATCAGTGTCACCTAATTTTCAAAGCACCTGGAGATACAGAAGGTAGGTGGGTGGGCAGGAGCAGGTGGAGGGGGAGACATTCCCAAGAAATGACCAGCAGGCCTTGGGTGGATACTGAATCAGAGGGAGTTGGGTTCTTTTCAAGGGGTCTAGGGAGTGGCTTTGCTAAGTAGAAAACAGGTGGTCATTTTTACCAAAAAGAACGACAATAAAAACATCTATTGATTCTACTAAAATTCAAACATAAGCCATTCTACATTTTTTCAAATTCTGTAAGTTAAAAAAAAAAATTATTATCATCGGACAAATGATCTTTTTTCTGTCTGTTTTCCTGTATTAATTTTTTAGTGAGTATGTCTTCTTTAATAATAGAAAAGAAAGGATTCTTTTTTTTTTTTCTTTGAGACAGAATCTTGCACTATCACCCAGGCCAGTGCAGTGGAGTGATCTCGGCTCACTGCAACCTCTGGCTCCTGGGTTCAAGTGATTTTCCTGCCTCAGCCTCCCTAGTAGCTGGGATTACAGGCGCCCACCACCACACCCAGCTAATTTTTGTATTTTTAGTAGAGACGAGGGTTCACCATGTTGACCAGGCTGGTCTCGAACTCCTGACCTCAAGTGATCCACCTTTCTCAGCCTCCCAAAGTGCTGGGATTACAGGTGTGAGCCACCGCACCCAGCCCGAAAGCATTCTTTATAAAGGAAGATGTTAGGGCACCTAGAGAAATGCTGAATGCAAGTGAACACCCCTCCCTTGGGGAACCCGCAGTGCCCGGCCAGGCACGTGGGCAAGGCGCCCCCTGATTGCCTCACCGTGAGCTGCCTGATGATGTCCTCTCTCTCCTTCAGCCGGGTCTGCAGGCGGCCTATGAGCTGAAGGTCCTCAGGCCTGGACGCTCCCTTCCCTGGCTTCTCTCCAGAATCTTTCAGTCTGTTCCAAGCAGGTATGCAGTCAGGTCCCCCTTAGAGCAATTACTCAACAAGGCGGGAGAATAAGTGCACGCGATGGGAATGCCATCGAGTGTTCAGCCCGGCGGGGGAGGCCCAGATAGCAGCAGAGGTTTAGCCAGGGCCTCCCAGGGAAATGGATGGCGGAACCCAGGATCCCAGCTCTGTCAGGTCCCCTGAGGCTGCAGGGCCAGGAACCAAAGGTCCCCTGTGTGCACAGAGTGCTGCACACAGCGGGGCTTCAAGAGCCAGGGATGCTGCTGGGAGAACAGCCCAGGGCAGGAACATGCCCCCAACTCCGCCCGAGGCCCGCAGGTTCTCTTAAAGCTCTGGCGCCATCTGCAGGCGGACACGGAGCACGGCCCGTGGCCAGTACCCACTGCCTGCTTTTTCAGTGTGAAGCCAGGGTGGAACTGGGTGGGGAGGCGAGCAGGGCTAGGGCTGCAGATGACCTACTGACAGGAGTTGATAAGAGCCCAGGGCTTTGAGTGAGATGACCGGGCTCTAATACTGGCTCTGCTTTTTTCTAGATATGTGACCTTGAGCATCATTTCACCTGTGTGTGGGCCTCGGTTCCCTCTTCTTTAAACTGGCCATAGAACTGGGTGGTTGTGAGAATTCCGTGTGATAATGGGCCCCTGGCTTACATAGCAAGTGCCCCGTAGACTGTAGCTGGTAAAACCTTTCCTGCTGGCTTTTGGATGATTTGCTTTGTATTGGAGACAGTGGAGAAGTTTTTAAGAGCTCAGGCTAAAGGTCAGACAGGTGACATTTAAATTCACTTAATGTTGCCTGACCTTGGGCAAGTGGCTTTGCCTGCCAGGACCTGGCTTGCAGCCATCACATCCTAAAAGGTCTTCCTGCCAGTCACCCCCTCCCCATTTCTTCTCAGCAGTCAGGCCATGTCACTGCTGCCCAATACCTTGCGATGGCTTCCCAGGGCACTCTGAACACATCCAAATTCCTTCCCATCAGGGCAGGGGTTCCTCCGCCCAGCTCCTGTCCTCCCACTCACCCTCCCTCTCACTGTTTAGCCACACAAGCCTTTGGGCTGTTTTCAGGAACGTGAAGCAGGCCCAGGGCCTTTGCACCAGATGTGGCATCTGCTTCCAATGCTCTTCATCCAGATGGCTCAGGAGTGCCCTCACCTCCTTGTACTTAAATGTCACCTCCTCAAAGAGGCCTTCTTTTGCCCACACTTGCCACTCCCAATCCTGTCTTCTAGCACTTTCACCACCTGTTATGAATTTAACTGCTTGGTTTTTCTTTTTATTGAGACTGGGTCTATTTTGTTTCGTTTTGAGACAGAGTCTCTCTCTCTCTGTAACCCAGGCTGGGGTACAGTGGTGCAATCATGGATCACTGCAACCTCAACCTCTTGGGCTCAGATGATCCTCCCACCTCAGCCTCCCAAGTAGCTGGGACTACAGGCACACACCACCATGCCCAGCTAATTTTTTTTATTTCTTAATTTTTTGTGAGACAGAGTTTTACAATGTTGCCCAGGCAGGTCTCAAACTCCTGGGCTCAAGGGATCCTCCCTGGGCTCAAGCCTCAGCCATGCAAAGTGCTGGGATTACAGGCATAAGCCACCAAGCCCAGCCTGTTTGCTTATTTCTTATCTGAGTCCTCAGCAGAATTTGTGAGCCTATGGACACTGTCTTTGTTTTGTTCTTCACTGTAACTCTAGAGCCTAAAGCAGTGCGGTGCATACAGTGGGTCCTTAACAAATATTTGTTGAATGAATAAATACAATATGTGTGCATGAGGGACCAGTGGGAATAACGACTCTACCCTCAAGTACTGTTGTGATGATTAAATGAGATGATACTATTAGAACAGAGCAAATGCTCATAATTGAGCAGCCCTGATCCTTCTGATTTCTTCCAAGTGTGAGGATTAAACCAACGCTCATCCTCACAGATTCCCAGTGACCTGCAGGAAAGGGGAACACATTCTCATAAAATGAAGGGAGAATGATGACCCCTTGGCTTGTTCCTCCCCATCCCCATCCCCCCAAACTTGCTCTGTCGCTGAAGCTGGAGTGCAATGGCCCAATCTCGGCTCACTGAAACCTCCACCTCCCAGGCTCAAGTGATCCTCCTGCCTCAGCCTCCCAAGTAGCTCGAATTGCAGGCATGTATCATCATAGCTGGTTAATTTTGTGTTTTTAGTAGAGATGGGGGTTCACCATGTTGGTCAGGCTGGTCTCAAACTCCTTAGCTCAAGTGATCCGCCTGTCGTGGCCTCCCAAAGTGCTGGGATTTCAGGTGTGAGCCATCGGGCCCGGCCAGAACCCAGGACTTTTCATTTGAAAACCAGGAAAGCCCAGGGCCACTGGGGTGAGTTGGCCACCCTACCAAATGGTACATTTGCTAGTCCCTCCCTGGGGCCCAAGGCCTCACTTACTCGGCTTCCAGGGCAGCCAGCCGGGCCTGGAGCTGGGCCTGAGCACTACTGAAATCTGCCACCATGGCCTGCATCTCCTTCCGGTGTTCCTGGCGGAGCGTCTCCACCTCCCTGGCCCGCTGGGCTTGCTGATTCTCCTCCAGCAACCTATGGTGGGCGAAAGCACAGCCAGGCTTGCCCAGCTCCGGGGATGGCGCCCCTTGGGTCCTGGGGTTTATTCCCCTCGTTGCTGCCCAGTTTGGGAGAGCTGGGTGGGGAGAGGTTGTGAACTGAGGATACCTGTGGGAAGGACAGCTAGGGTCTCCGAGTTGTGGGGTCCAGAACAAATCCCCACTGTGGGACCCCTTCTCAGCACCTTCCCATCTCAGAAGGAGAAACGTGAGCATGGGGACAACCGTCAGGCAGAAGTGATGGAGAATAGCCCTGCAGAGGAGCCCCAGAAAACACGCTCTTCACTTGGGGCCAGCAGGGAGGCAGGAGGCTGAGATTCTCTATCAGTATCGCCCAAATGCTGGGACTCTGAGAGCCGGGGGGCCGCCAGTCCAGGGTGGAAGTGGGTGGGATGGCAGTGTTTCAGCACCTCCCCTGCTGACTCCCGACCGTGTCTATGTCTGCAGCCTCCCCATCACTTCCTCACTGTGTGACTCTGGGCAAGCTGCTCCCTGCTGCGCCCTCCTCTGTCAGATGTAGGTGACAGTGGAACCTACCTTACAGAATTACTGCAAGGAGGAATTGTGTTAATACATGTGCAGAACAGTCCATGGCATAAAGTACATGCTCAACCATTAGCGATAATTTCTCTTACTAGTGAGAAACAGCGGGATCTACAGAAAAGCCTCAGGGGTCTATTGCCCTCAGAGGGTACAAGCACTTTTCTTTTTTTTTTTTTTTTTTTCAGATGTAGTCTCACTCTGTTGCCCAGGTTGGACTGCAGTGGCACCATCTCAGCTCACTGCAACCTCCACCTCCTGGGTTTAAGCAATTCTCCTGCCTCAGCCTCCTGAATAGCTGGGATTACAGGTGCCCACCACCATGCCCCACTAAGTTTCTGTATCTTTAGTAGAGATGGGGTTTCACCATTTGGGCCATGCTGGTCTCAAACTCCCGACGTCAGGTGATCCACTCGCCTTGGCCTCCCAAAGTGTTGGGATTACAGGTGTGGGCCTCCGCACCCGACCAGCACTTTTTTTGTTGTTAGAGGTGAGGTCTCGCTACGTTGCCTAGGTTGGTCTCTAACTCCCAAATTTAAGCGTTTCTCCCACATCGGCCTCCCAAAGTGCTAGGATTATAGGTGTGAGCCACCATGCCTGGCCTGGTCCAAGCAAATTTTATGTACTATATTCCTTCCCAGGAGTGGGACCATTGCTCTTCTCACTTGGAGGGGGCCGTAATGTAAAATGGTTAGGAATTGCTAATCCAAACTCCTAATTCTAGGGAGTTGCGAAGGTCACATGGTGAGTCACTAACTGAAACTAAGTTGTTCCACCTTGGCCAGGTGGGCTCCTGGTTGCCTCTCAGATGAGCCTCTGGTCAGCTGTTCGCTTGGGGAGGGAGGCCTCATGACCCCAGTCCAGTTAGGGCCTGAGCTCTTTCACAGCCACCTGGCCCTGGCAGGGGGAAACTGTCCCTCACCAGTGAGCGTAGGACTCAGAATAATCCCCGTCTCCTGGTGGCTCTCCTCCCAATCTCCACTGGGCATTCTAGTCTCCTGGGGCCTCGTTCCACATCCAGATTCCCCTCCTCATACCTTCTGCAACTGGGGTGGCCCTTTCCACATCCAGGCCCCTGCTGGGACCTCCTTTCCACATCCAGGCCCTTCCTGGGACCTCCTTTCCACATCCAGGCCTCTCTCAGACCTCCTGCAACTGGGGTGGCCCCAGAGTGTGGACTTTTAACAAAGCTCCCCTGAGGGGCACCTCTGGCTGGGAATCCATGTACCCAGCACTACCTCAGGCCTCCAGGACACCCTGGTTCATCTCAGCGAGCGCTTCTGCCTAAAAAAGGAGGATTTATGAAGAATTCCAGCGTCTCTGGAAAACTCTCCTGCTCTGGCCATTTACTGCAGCAAGAGTGAAGTAAAGGACTCACAGGTAAGAAGGCAGTGGCACTCAAAGTAGCATCCTGGTGACACTGCATCAGCATCTCCTGGGAATTTGTTAGAAACGCAAATACTAATTCCAATGCTAATTAATCTAATTAATCCTGGTTTGCAGGCTCCACCCTGGCTCTAGTGATTCAGAAATGCCGAAGGTAGAGCCCAGAAATGTATTCAACAAACCTTCCAGGTGATTCCTTTTTTTCTTTTTTGAGACAGGTTCTTGCTCTGTCACCTAGGCTGGAGGGCAGTGGCAGGATCTCGGCTCACTGCAGCCTCCGCCCTCTGGGCTCAAGTGATCCTCCCCCTTCAGCCTCCTGAGTAGCTGGGACTGCAGGCGCACACCCCCCATACCCGGTGTCTTTTTGTTTATTTTTGTTTTTGTAGTTTTAGTATAGAAGGGGTTCTTACATGTTGCCCAGGCTGGTCTCAAACTCCTGAGTTTAGGCAGTCTGCCTTGGCCTCCCAAAGTGCTGGGATTACAGGCATGAGCCACCACACCCTGCCCTTCCAGATGATTCTAATGCAAGTTCAAGTTTGAGAACCATGACAACAGACGTTTCTTGAATCAGTGCCATGTGCCAAGCATCGTTCCAAACCCTGTACACGTTCTCTCTTTCAGTTCTCCCAACAACCCTGTGAGCTAGGCCCTGTTATCCTCCCATGCTCTGGGCCAGTGAGGCATGGAGAGGTCAAGAAACTGACCCAAGGTAATGCATCAGAGGCAGAATTGCCAGTGCTGACCAAAGTGCAAAGCCCAGCCTTCCCTAACAACTACAGTGCAATGGAAAGCCTCCCTGAACCTTTTTCTTTT